ATAAATTTTAGATTCCTCTATTTATTTTTCTCGGTTGGAAATTGTATAAATTCTTCTTTTTTTTCCAGTTTCATCTTTTCCCCTTAAAATCTGCAGCAGTTATGCATACTACATTCTATAGTCACCAGAATAGAGTAAGACCATGGTGTAGGTCTCACGTGGTCAGTCAGGGCAACAGCTGATGTGATTTACTTATGTGGCTGCTCTGTACATAGAGGAAGTTTAAACACATATGCTAAATGCTGTGGTTGTGAAGCATGGTAGTGTGTTTTCTACTTGTATCCACTTGCTCATAGAACTGTCACATAAAGTGAAACAAACTGACAACAGTGTTCTCGGTTCTTACATTTGTGGATGTGCTGTATGTACAACAGGCCTTCTTGTTGCATGGATGTCTCAGTGTGTTTTTAAAGCAGAAGTAGGAAAAACACTAAATCCCAGTCTCAGTCAAAGTCACCGTTAGTGGGCATGTTTCAACCTGTTGTCATTGGCATGCTTGACATAATAGTTCTCTCAGGTGCCGCTCCTAAATCGAACATGTTTCTTAGTGGTTACTCGATGTACACAGCTTAAGAGGATAGTATCACTTGAAGTCTGCCAAGAGAAAGCCAACTATATAGTTTTATGCATGTAGAAGGTCAGATTTGCCTTGACATCACTGCATACATCTGCAGACATACATCACTCTACTTCTCCTTAACTCTCTCTGTGGCTAATCATCTCTGCTCACAAAGACAAAAACACACACACTAATTCATTGAGTCAATTACCTGTCTGTATTATACAGCACTAAATACAGTGTGCCGTTACAGAAGCATCAATTATTACTGGTCCCAGATCACATCAGGGGATCCTAGGAGTACTAGGCCACCGCTGAGCTTCGTCACCATGCACTGGTCACCATGGTTACTTGCCCTCCAAACACACATACTCATCAGATTTTTTCACATAAGAACAAAATGCAACATTTATCTTGGTTAGCCACATCAGACCTACAGATTTTGATCAAATCAAACACACAGCCAGCATTATCTTAACTGAATTATCAATATTTAAGCATGTTTTAGTAAGCCAATGTGATTACACCATGTAATCCATAGAGGAGGTTGCTAATTTTCCATTTTCTGATGATGTCAGGGATGTGTCTGTCCATAGGTCTGCTCAATTATGTGCCTGTGGGAGAGCTTCTGTAATTCCAGCCATGAGTCTCTGATTCCGTCCTCAGGACAGAGCGGGCTCATTATATTACCTACAGCTGTGTGAGACAGCTGGACACAGACACACAGACACACACAGGCAGCACACTTTGATGATTTCTGCACATGAAAAAATACCTGGATTGTATATACACAAAATATAGACAGTATAATCATCCGCTGAATAATTTAACAATCAAGATCAGGACAACAGAGACAGACTTATGTACAGATTTGAAAACCGAAGAGGAGTAACCACCTTCAGTTTTAATAGACTAATATTTAAAGACTGTTTCATGTTTGTTCTTGCACATTAGCTGAAGGCACAATGTTATCATCTTAGGTGGAATTAAGTAACTTTTAATCAGGTGTATGGAGGAGGTAAAGTAGTAGGCTGGCCCTTCTGTCATTAATGACTGAGTTCTAATCACACTGATAGACACACAAAGCCAAAACAGGTCTGCACTTGACATAGTGTACATAGTGTAAACACAGAAAAAAAGATAATTAAGAACCGGTCTTTTCTGTGTGAGTCCTTATCCTCAAATGTACTGTACACCCAAAGTGAGAATATAATCTTAGCACATGAGAAAGTGACAGACATGCATCAAGTGGTTGTGCAGTCTGTTAGAGTGGGGTCACTGTGGGTCAAACACAGACTTAGAGCCAACAGACAAAGACTGGTGGTCAGTACCTAATTTGAAGCACGAGAGAAGGGTGACAACAGCCCCTCTCTCTGTCTCCTCTCTCCACCTGCCCTTTCTCACTATTTATCTGCCCCTGCTTCTTACCTCCTAGTGATGTCTCCCTTTCCATGTGTCCAGTTGTCTGTCATCCACACGTTTCTTATCCATCTCTGTGTGTCTGTACTTTTCACCACTTACTGATTTGTTTGGCACTCCTCTGTACCTCCCTACCAACCACTTCTGTTATCTGGGCTGATGTCTATGTGTGTTTACTTGTGTGAGTGTGTGAAAGAGAAAGAACAGTGTGGGCTTATATTTGTATTATCAATCTAACCATGTATTTGCTCAGGTGCGCTGCTGAGCTGACAATGCTCCCTAAATATGTATTTGCAGCATTTGTTCACTGTGGTAAAACTAGCCCCAACAGCAATCTTATACCCACAAATGCATCCTAACACACCTGTCAGTCTGTCATCTTTGAGATAATGGTGCTAAACTGACACTTGAAAGGAAAGTAAAACATGCAAAATAGAGATACAGAACCATTCTTCATTCACTTTATCACCAGTCAACAATGCGTAATATACTGCATACAGTACATACCATACATGTAGGGACGCATCATACTGAGACCAGTGTTGGGTCCACATACCACCCTCTAACACTTTTACTCATACTCATAAAAGTTGTCCAATACTACCGGTATGTGCACCAGTTCCATTTAACGGCAGCATTACGTTAACGTTAGGTGTTTAAGAAGAAATGTTAGTGGTTTGTGGATATTTTAAGATAAGTAACATTCAATAAGAAAATGGCAGTGCTGTGTTTATCACAAAGTTGTCAAATGTGTACTGCCTCCTGTAATATTTTAATTAATCACAATCAGAAGGTAAATCTCATGACAATAAAAATTGCCTTTAAACCTTTTTATGGTCAACGTAACTTTTATAGTAGAAACACTGCATTATTCTTAAGTACTTATATTTGTACTCAGTATCTGCAAGTACCCAAATGTGAGTACTTGTACTTGGTGTGAAGAAAGTGGTATAGGTGCCCCCCCCACACACACACACACCTTCTTTAATCACACACATACAGATCAATGGTCTGTCTCAGGGGGTGAGCAGCAGTACTTTTCCACTGCATCAGTCTCTGCTCGATGCAGCCTCTGCCCCTCCAGGCCTGCCTGGTCTCGCTGCAGAAAGAGATTTCATCACCTGCTCTGTTGTTGCAGAAGTCTGTTGAAACAAACAAAAAAAGGAAAAGAAAAGAAACAACTCCCTCCCACTGACATGCAACTCTCTGCCTGACATGCTTGAACATATAGTCTCATTGTTTGCTTCTGACTTCAGAAGTGGTCTTTGATCAGCTGCCGTGAGTGAAAGTTGTCACAAGTTGGCTCATGAAACCTTTTTATGGCAAACCAGAAAGATGGGTCTTTGTAACCACAACATGTCATCATTTTACAAGAGTTTTACACAAAAAGAATTCAGTTGCTCAGAAACTCCAGGGAGAAGTTGTAATTAATTTTCCCTTTGCATGTACTGTATGTGTGGTTTGGTGTGGTTTGGGTGTGTGTTTGCATAAGCGAGAGGATCTTAATTCATTCTTCCTCATTGTAAATATACTAGTATGAGTAATGATTTTGGACAAAGAACCCGACTGTTTTAAAGTAAACATATTTTACAGTGTGTGGCAGATAATATCAGATGCAAAGAAAGCAGTCAAGCAGCTGTTGTACACTCTTCACTCCTGTAAATGTTACTACCTGGTTGTACCACTGGAGGGAGCTTTATTTCAGTGAATGTCAGCACACAGTTGGTTTAAGTTCAGTCTCTAAAATCTTGACACACATACAATAATGTTGAATTAAAATAACTGTTGTCACCGATTAGGTATTGATGAATATTGATGCTTCTGTCACCATGTCAGGTGAACACTGCCTCTCTGCAAACTTTCACTTAGAGTCAGTAGAATACATCTACATCGATCTGCCACCAGTGGTAATTTCCCTGGTGATTTGGTTATATCAATGAAGGACCTGTCCGCTGGGACCCGTTAACTTGTCTCTCTCTGTCACCTCTGATCTTTGATGAGGGACATTTGTATTGACACGGCCCATTGATCAGGCTTCTGTCCTCCTGGACAACATGCTAGAGTTACAGTTATAAACCTAGAAGGACCAGAATGTGCAGCAGTGGAGAAAATCAGGGTTATTAATAGGCCATTCATGTGTAGTTTACCATCATAAGTCAATTTCTGAGAGGACAGTTATAGAAAGGAACATACCAGGAACAACAGAGTGTAGTAGAGCAGGTCGAGGAATAGCAGAATAGGGGGAGAATGTTTGATGTGCCTGTGTGTTTTAGCAATTCTGACATCAAAGTGTCTCTGATGGATCTGGTCTAATAGTGTAAAACATACTAGAATCTAATCAGAAGGCCTTTAATGACTCTTTGAACTCTTTGTCTACTCTTGTGCTTTCTCTCTCATGCCCTTAATGATTTCTGTGGGATAAGTAAATGAAAAGGAACAGGAAGCAATTAAACCATTTGCACCTGATTTTCTAGTCCTGTTGTGGCCATCAGAGCTAGAAATAGAGATCAAATGGATATGGCAGAGCAAACTGCAGGCACTGCCTTTAATGCATGGGGCAGTCAAGCCAAACAGAGCTACCAGGGTAGTGCATTATCCTTTCATGTCGCAGCAGTTCACATGGTAATAGGTTTTCATGTTAATGCTTTTCATCTACAGTAACATCTGCCTCATAAACGGAGAATAATTGACATTATTATTACCTTCGGAGAAATGGAGGCTACTTCTCAAGGCCACTTCACAAGGATACAATGTTATTTACTGTACACTGGAAGAGAGAAATCTCAAGGGCACTTACATAAAACCTACAGTCTTTGTATCTGTTGTAGTGACTGGTAAATACTGGTAGAATGTCAGACAAGACAGCTCTCTAGACAAAGAGGGCATGTGATGTGTTTTCAGGGACAAGGAATAGTTTGTAGTTAATACAAGGTACATGCACAAACCCAACGAACAACTAAGATTGTAGGTAAAAACAATCAGGCTACTATGGCATGTATAAAGCATATGTGTGTGTCTGTAGTATGGGAGATCAGACAGTTACCGCGTTGCCACCACACAGGACAAAGATGGCCAATCCCCCAAGAAGAAGAAGGGGGAAAACAAGAACATGGATGACTTGAAGAAGGAAGTGCCCATTGTAAGTGAAACCTTATTTTTTGTCACTGAATACTTGTGGAGTGGAGTGTTGATCTAAAGTATATATGTTTCACAGTTTCCTCATTGTCTACAAAGATTTTTTATACCATCCATACATTTTAGGATGTGACAAAAAATGATTTTCAGTGTGTGAAGAACATCCTCTTGCAGGATATAGACTAATGAATGAAAGTTGTCACCAATTTGTAGGAGAGAAGGGAAGTGTTTTTCATAAGGACCAAAATCATTTATTCTTTTGCTGGTAAGAGGAGTGGCTGTTATCAGAAAGCCATTGCTTTGTTTGATCCCACATCTGGGAACAGACACCAGGGTCACCAAACCTGGCTGCCCTGATACGCCTATCTTTCAGGTGAACTGCATGCACAGAGTAAATTTTTAATAGTTTTGTATGCTGTTAAGTTACAGGACATTCTAGAAATGCTACAAAGCTTAAAACCTTTGTTTAAAATTTCCACTAATTTCAACACCCAGGAAACATACTAAAGTAGGCAGAATACTTATTATCCCTGTATCTTTTTTTTTTCAGACAGAACACAAAATGTCCATAGAGGAGGTTTGCAGGAAATACCAGACTGATATTGTCCAGGTTAGTTGATGATATTAATTTCTCTCCCACCCCCCACACTCCCACTTCAGACTCCTGCCTTCAGGGAGAAGGTATCAGAGTCTTCAGACCAACTCCACCACACTTACAAACAGCTTCATCCACCAGGCTGTGAGGATGCTGAACGCTGTCCATTACCCCCCCGCCCCTGGACTGTGACCCATCACAGAACATAAAAAGACTACCTCTTACCCAGTACATTCCCCCTTCTTGTTATATTACATGTAAATCTGCTGCTGACTGTTTTTAGCGTCATATCTGCTGCTGTTGGTCATTTGCACTACTGTCCATGTCTATCTCAATCTCACAACCATCTGACACTTGTTTGCACTACTGTCACTGAGCCTATTAGGTTGTACAATTTAGCTTTATCCTAATCACTGACTTAGTTTTCTTATTCTTTTTAGTCTATTTTTACCCTACATTTATTCTATTTTAGTTTTCTAAATGGTATGGCATTCAGCCTATTAGGTTGTACAATTTAGCTTTATCCTAATCACTGACTTAGTTTTCTTATTCTTTTTAGTCTATTTTTACCCTACATTTATTCTATTTTAGTTTTCTAAATGGTATGGCATTCAATACTAGGTGAGAGAGAAATGGTATTTCAATTTTCTGTATGTCCTGCACATATAGTGAATTGACAATAAAAATCTTCGATCTTGATCTTTGATGTACAACCATGAGCTGAGACTGTTATTCCAGTTGGCCACTAGGTGGCACAAGCGTACCACTGGTGGTTTACTACATGTTTTGACAATACAACCCACCTGTCCACTAAGCTCCAAAGTAAAAAGAACAGAGACAATATTGACCAGATCAAACTGATTATGCTTTGCAGACATGCCTTGCAGACATGCCAATCACTGTAAATTCCACATCCCCCCCCCGCTCTGCTTTTCCTAGGGACTGACCAATGCCAAGGCAGCAGAGATTCTACAAAGGGATGGTCCCAATGCTCTCACACCTCCTCCTACTACTCCAGAGTGGGTCAAGTTCTGTCGCCAGCTGTTTGGTGGATTCTCCATCTTGTTGTGGACTGGCGCCATCCTCTGCTTCCTGGCCTATGCCATCCAGGCAGTCACTGAGACTGAGCCTGCAAGAGACAATGTGAGCACCACACATACACATGGACAGATTTTGCACACAAATATTCACATATGGACAATCTACACATCATTAACACATCCAGTACTTACATGAATAACTCCCCTGCAAAGTGGCTTGTCATACACACTGTACCCAGTGACTCCCCGTAGCACACGCTCACAAATATTTACCTCTTCTTCTCACTCTCCAGTTGTATCTAGGTATTGTGCTCACAGCTGTCGTCGTCATCACCGGTTGCTTCTCATACTTCCAAGAGGCCAAGAGCTCTAAAATCATGGAGTCTTTCAAGAAGATGGTGCCTCAGGTAAATATGTTTGCACAGAAGAAACCAACCTATGTATGAATGCTTTTGTGAATTTCATCCATGCATCAATTATCTATACCACATACCCTTTAGATAAGGGTTGGAAACAGTCCCAGACAACATTGGTACACCCTGAACAAGCTTCCAGGCTATCACAGGGCTGACACACTCAGGACTCCTACTTTATTTCCATGAAAGTGAATATTTTAGGAATTTTAGAAACATTTGGTAGAACTATGCAGTTAATGGGAAGTAGAAATAGTTGCCTCTATTCATCACAGTCTTCACAACTGGGCGACTTGAGCTGCCGCCCAAGTGTCAGACACAGACTAATGCTTACTGTCTGCTGTCCTGAAAAAATAGCAGTTTTGCCCCTACAGCTTTTCTTTATGGTCTTTGCATTTGCTGTAATAATTAAGACAACACCATGCAATATATTAAGTCTAGGTCGATATTTTTCATAATAATACAAAATGTAGGTAAACCATAATGTAGGTCTGTACTGAATCCATTGTCTATCCCTATACATTTAGTACATTTGGTATCTAACAAGGGCACTGGAAACAGTGCTGCATGCTGTCATTGTACGTCTCTGGCACAAAATGACTTGGCTATGACTTGGTATGCACAAACAGAGAGAATAAGATGGGAGGTGGTGTGGCCTTGTACGTAGATAAAAACTTTTGTTATAAGAAAGTAGACAAAATGTCTAGGGTAGTAGATAATTTACTCGAATGTGTGACTGTAGAACTACTTTTGGGAAAAAAAGAAAAATGTTGTAATAAGCTGTATTTATAGAGCACTTGAGAAGATAAAGAAATGGTGTGACAGTAATACAGTATCTCTGAATTTGGATAAAACTAAATTTATGGTATTTGGGAATCATAGACTAGATAATGAACTTCAATTGAAAATTGGGGGAGCTAATATAGAACGAGTATATGAAATTAAATTTCTAGGTGTCATAGTTGATGACAAATTCTCCTGGAAATCTCATATCAGATATGTTCAGCACAAAATAGCAAAAAATATATTGATATTGGCAAGGGTTAGATATATGTTGGACGGGAAAGCACTACGCATTTTGTATTCTTCATTGATTTTACCATACTTAGAGTATGGCGTTGAAAACTGGGGAAATACATACAAAAGCTCACTTCAACCATTGTATATATTACAAAAAAAGAGCGATAAGAATTGTGCATAAGATGGGGTATAGGGATCACACCAATGTAGCTTTCATACAGTCTAAATTGTTAAAAAATTTTGATTTAGTGGGATATAAGACTGCTGTGTTTATGTATAAAGCCAGGAACAATTTATTACCTGGTGGAATTCAAAAACGATTTAATGAAAGGGAAGGAGAATACAATTTAAGGGGTCAGTTAAATTAAAAAATTAATGCTATACGTACAACCAAAAAAAGATTTTGTATTTCCATAAGTGGGGTAAAACTATGGAATAATCTAAGTGTGGACATAAAAAATAGTAATAGAATTGACGAGTTTAAACATAAATATAAAGGTATGTGTCAATCAAGATATATGCAAGAACAGGCTCAAGGATTAATTAGATGGAACATTGTGGGTGTGGTGTATGAATGTTAACACCTTGTAATAATTCTTTAGTATATTACTTGTGTGGTGTAGAAGATAAGTATTTAAGAATGTAATTATGTACGAATGTTAACACTCTGTTATAATTTTTTTAGTATATTACTTGTGTGGTGTAGAAGAGAATTATCTATGTAGAGATACTGCTTGCAAACCAATGATGGTAAGATGATGTCATGGGGTAGGACTGGATAAGTCTGACTTCTTCCTACTCCATTCAAGCATGTACTAGGTATAAGCAAATTGATATTGGATTAGCATTTGTTGGATATGTGTAAAATTATGTGTGTTGTCATATCAACTGTTTTACATGAAAGCATAAATCAAATCAAATAAAAAAAAATGGCTTTAACAGCTGCAACCAAGTTTTTCATGCCAAATGAAGAACAAGCTTCTATGAAACTACAGTGAATGTTTACTAATAT